TGAAATAAAACTGGTTTGGGGCAGCTTTTTCCAAGCAAAACTAAATATAATCTGAAAAAACGCTTGTTAATTTGTTGTCATGAACAAAATGTTCAACTTAATATTAAAGTCTACAGGGATCTTTGGATCCTTACAACCAGGCATGCAATTTGTGAATTAAGTTTTTATTTTATTTTGTATTATTCAAATAAATATCGAAACGGTGCTTCGTGGTAATGCTGCTAAATTAAATAACATTTATAGAATAATTATGAACTTAAATGAAACAATATCGCAACATTTCGACAAATACATTATTATGTTTTTACATTTTAATTCAGGGCGATTTAGCCTACATTTAATTAGAGCGAGATTTTCACCCATGTCTTGTCATTTTCTCATTGGGAAGCGCATGTTTGAGTAGATCCTCTGTACCTCTCGTTTTCATATGGATTAGCCTACATAATCAGATAACATTTATTAGCCTAAATATTTAGACATTTAAATTCTTTAGACATAGCCGATTTCTTATCGTGACTGAGCTGAAGTGGCTTTCGGTTCATTTTTGTGACGCGCAGTTCCCGGAGACAGAGAGGACAGATATACTGTTTTTGTCGTTAGCCTAATATGAATACAAGTTTACAGTTTTGAACGATGTAAGCTACTCTACTCTTATCTGTATGACCAAAAAATTACGGAGTCGCCTATTAAGTTATTTTAGCTGTAATAATGAGATAAATAAATTAATCTAAATGAACGCGCCGCCGCGTTTGTCGAACACTAACTCACCATGCCAGAATAAAACCCGACTTTAGAAAAATGCATAGGGCCACTCGGCGTGGTGTGCCAAAACACTTAATTATAAACTTCCATATTTCATTCAAAATAATCTCAACACGCTTTGTGAAATTTTGAAAAGCCGTGCATGCATTCAGGCCACTGGAACTAATGAACAACTGAAACGCTGGTTTTGATTTTTATTGTTTGTCGTTTAAACGTGCCTGTTGCATATCTCTATTTTATATATTTGATATTGGTGAAGTAGCCTATAGCATTGATTAGCTGTGGAGCAGTGGCGTAACGAGCCAACACCGGGCCCTTATGCAGGATTATCAAGGCGGGCCCCCTACTACAACACGTGATGACGCAATGTCCACGAGTAGGCTTTTGCATGCAATACGCAAGGAACTGTTTACACCTGGCCACTTCATGCTTTTTCTGTGATCGTATAGCTATCCAATCATGAAAAGACCAGGTGTAAATTCCCTTCGAAACGCATTCGAGACGGATTTGAATCCGGTCGCTCAAACCACTTCAGGAGGAGGTCTGGGCCGCATTCCAGACGACACTGGACAAGTGTAAATACATCTGGTTGTTGAAACCACATATGTCAATTTTACTCCTCTAAAAATGCTAAAAAAAAAATAAACGTGTGAGAGCGTGTTATAGGCTATATGTCATAGTCAGATATGACGACGCTTGCAACAACACGCATCACCGCAGATGAGCATCTATTCATCAAGCCAACGCACAAACTATCGCAAATCAAAGTGAAAGTAAGTCGCAGACGCTCGCTTAACACACAATCATCTTCATTAAAAGTAAAGAAACGAAATGATCTTACCAGTACTGTTGCCGCTCTCTCTAATTGCGGTCTTCGATTTAGAAATTTTAGCTGATGATCAATAAAATGCAGCTTATCTGTTGCTTTCGGTGACGTGAACTCTATTAAATCTGCATATAGCGCGGAAATTGAAGATCGGATTTATATCTGTTTTGCAAAAACACATTTATGTGACCAGCTGTAAATGGAATCGTTTTGATAAATCAGTAGCTATCCGATCTGAGAAAACGCATGAAGTGGCGCGCGCGTGTAACGTTAAACAGCCGACCCGGGGATTCCCCAGTCCCAGCTCAAAACAAATTACACCAAAATCCATGATTGTTCGTTTCACACATGTATTTAATGATCTGTAAAATATGTTTTTGTCATTATTTATTTAAAACAAAATCGTGATAAAGTAAAATGCGATCAAACTAAAAGTAGTAATATGCGATAGGGGGCCCCGGCTGTCAATCAATATCTTCCAGTCAAGCGGGCCCCTGATTGCAACGTGAAGCAACCGCGTACCCTGCTTACCGATAGTTACGCCACTGCTGTGGAGGGAGGGGTGTGGGGATTAAAATAATTCAGCAGAAGTAGGGATGTTTAGACCAGAAGGAAATCCCAGTCCCCCTGGCAAATCAGAGAGCCTGGAATAAATAAATAAAAAATATATATAGCCTATATAAAACAAAACTGTATGGTGTAACAGAGTTTTAGAGCTAGACAAATCTCTCTGCAATAATAAATATAAAATTACAGCAGACCATGTTTGAGCGGGATTTGAACCCGTGTCATCTTGATGATGAACCGTAAGTTCTACCGCTCGGCTATGAATTTTGTCACTGAGAAATATCCAAACGTTTGATTCTCACATGAGCGAGAAAACGTTTTGTCTTTAGCCTGTGAGTGTAGGCCTACTTTAGCCTTTTACAGTTTTAAAAGATTATATCTTATCTGTATGACCAACAATTTGTTGTAGGCTTATTTGGAAATTACCATAACTTGTAGTATTTCATCCTTAGGCTACTGTTACTAGACATTAGCCCCACTTACGTTTTGCTAAATGTCCCTTTGCGGTCATTTCGCGTACGACTTTGAAATGCGACTGGTTTATTTTTACCGCGGTGGATGGCTAAAAATGGTATGTGGATGGGTAAAAGGTGTGACTAAAAATGTGCTTTTGGCTTTCATTTATATTTTGATTGTTTGTATATATATATATATATATATATATATATATATATGTGTGTATATATATACTAATGAGCCTTTCATTCAGGGGTGTCACACAAGAAAGAATGCAAGAATGCAATATATATAAATAAATATTTATATACACATATATATATATATATATATATATATATATATATATATATATGTGTGTATGTGTGTGTGTATAAATATTTATTTATTTATATATATATTGTCCTTGCATTCTTTCTTGTGTGACACCCCTGAATGAAAGGCTCATTAGTATGCAGTCTGCTCAGGTGAGAACTGCCTAATTATTCATGAGGGGGTTGGGCCGATCCGCCCATCCGCATATTGCCTTTGCAAACAAAAAAATGTTTTTCACAATTTAAAACAATCTATTGTTTTATGTGAATGATTAGGCAGAATGATTTTCAGATCAATTTGAAGCAAATACTCTAGGCGACAACATCCACTAGTCAAAAGTCTTGTGGACAGATATTTAGTATGTTATTTGTGGCCTTATATTAGAAACTTTATTTTTTAGTTTTTTCAATAACCACGCATAAACAATATTCTCTCAAAAATACAAACATGTACATACATGTTGCTCACATATTATGGTAGCCCTGCATGTGTGTGCTATATAGAGTGTAATTTCACCTGTGCCATTAATATGTTTATAAGCAACTGAAAAAAGCACAAATGTCAGAGCATGCCAAAACATCTCAAGGACCCCGAAAACACCTCAGACCCCAGAGGGTTAAATACCCACGCGGTGGGGCGGAGATACATTATGCAAATTCCGCAGACCCATGGCATTTCATTGCCATAGGCTCGTTTTTTAATACTCGAAGAGGATTGGCTTTCTGGCGAAACCCCCATTCTCCGTCTCCGTTCCCTACTCAGGGAACGAGGGTTACATCCGTAACCGAGACGATTTTTACAGTCTATGGTCTGTATACCCCCTTCTGTTTTATTTATTTTCTTCTCACTGTTAATGTCTGTAACCTTTCATTTGCAATAATAAAAAGATTTTATTTTATTATAATAATAATAATAAAATAAAATATGTGTTTTTCTCTGTCTGAATTTACTAGTGCAGAGACAACTGTCACACACACAGTTGATTAATTATTCATAAATTGTTTGGATAGTGACAGTATGAACAAAAAAAAATGACTCAGAGTTGAGTGCAGTGCTGATGGAGGGAGTGTAATAAAGTAAACTGCAACAGAATAGTCTGGGGTGGGAAAAGTAAAGAATTGTCTCTGGGTTTTTTGTTTTGTTTTTGCAGTGAACTGTTGCTAGGTTTAGTACAGTGTTGTGCTTATGGGACTGGGGATATAGAGGAGCAAACTGCAACACTGCAGTTTAGGGTGCGTGAAGGAAGGATTACGATAGATTTTTATTGAGAAACAGATTTTTTTTTTCAAGTGTGTTGGGGTTTAGACGATTCCTCTTTTTGGACAGAACCTCTCCAGCCTTGGAAAAGATCCTTGGGAACAGAGGATGCAGGGGAACATAAACATGCCAGTGCCAGCGGGTATAAATGAGGATACGGATGCTTCTGTTGAGCCCAGACAGGGGAGGATCTCTTCTTTGCTGGCTCCATTACCATGAAAAAGGAAGAGTCACAAAAAGCAAACAAATCCAAAAGGGCAATCCAAAACAAACAGCAGTCCAGTCCAGATCCAAATCAATCCAAATAATATTATCTAATTAATAAAAAAGACTATAATATATCTACTATAATAATATCAATATAACTAGTCTAAACTGATACAATATAGCCTACTACAGCCCTAACACATATGACTCAATAAACGACTATGACAATGAGAGTTCTCTACTCTGACACACACTAGCCTTCTACACCTGCTTCTACTACTCCTGCAACACCCACAAGGTGGCGCGATTTTCGAACCCCCTTTATCCAGAAGCGACACCGAACCGATGACGTTTCCACACAAACCGAGGACGTTAGTCACGTGATTTTCACGTTAACAACACAAGCCTCGAATCGCGGCTTCATCTCCTATGCTTCATCTGGCACGGCCATTTTTTCTCGACACAATAGCTCCGACGCCTCGGTTCAAATCTTTTTACAGTCTATGGTTCAAATGTCACATCACTACCTGTTGCCCTGATCGGTTAGGAAGAAGATTAGTACCGCGACGATTAAACTGCCCATTACTTTGTTTTGTTTTAGGAAACATGGTGAAGATGAAGCTTTTCCTTATATGGCTCTTATTGCTCTGGTGTTTACTCGACCATGGTAAGCCTATCTCTTCCGGCCAACGATGAAACCGAAAGTGACCTTTATATGAACTATAATCGCACAGAAAAGCCTTCATTGTTTGTTTTTAGCTGTCCCATCTTTTTGCTCGACCATGACAAGACATTAATTTGTTAAAATCTCACTTGGCCTACTGTCAGCGATAAAAAACGTAAAAAGTACGTGACGTTTGCTGCTTGAAACAAAGGCCCCGGCCATCAGGGTTCCAGACTGCGACCAAATTGGTCGGATATGCGACTATTTTTTGAGAATGTGCGAGTTAAAATGTTATGTGGTCGCATTTGTGCGAGTGGACGCTTGAGCAACAGAACGCCGTTGTATCAGCTGCTGCAGTCCGTAACTTATGTTCAAAATAAACGAGTAGGCTACATCATGAATCCATTTTCCAAACCGTGTTTTTGACTTAATCTGAATCACTACGTTACGCCTATAATAAGTGTTTATATTCGGACTATTTTATCCCGGGGTCGTCTCGCCTGCGGAGTAGCCCAGTGCCTGCGTGTCTCGCCATAGACATTAACGGAGAGAAGTTCCGTCTACAATGTTCTTCCGCAAGACACGTGCAGTTTATTTATTGACGAACGTAGACGTCACGCGCATTGCACACTGATGGTGAAACGCGCCAATTACGAATTCACGAATTAAGGCATATAAAAATGGTCTCACGAAACACAGAGCCCCTTCCTATACGTCTTTTCAGCGGTTATATTTTCCTCTGTCGAGCGATTACTCTCATGATCGCTCGACAGAGGAAAAGGAAATTATTATAAAATGCAGAAGGTAAGTGTGAGATTTCTGCTTTTAGTTACAACAATAAACTTTGATAACGAAAAACCTGTATCAGTTCATTATAATACTCTAATCTTTTAAAATGTAATGCATACATTTGAATGTTTAATGATTTTTAAAAGATAGAAAGATGATAATAGATAGATAGATAGATAGATAGATAGATAGATAGATAGATAGATAGATAGATAGATAGATAGATAGATAGAATATGATTCAAATGTAAATAGATAGATTGTATATAATTCAAATGTAAAATGCTTAAAATTACAGATTAAAATTACTGTCCAAAATCCATGAAAATCCTGAAATTTGGCAATGATAATTAATATATTACAGGTATTTCTGCTGCAACCCAGAAAGCCTTTGCTAGCCTTGGTCCATTAAAACCACTATTCATCAGCATGCATTGATTATTCCCATGGCATGTAGCAAAAAAAAAAAAAAAAAAAGTGCGACCAAATCATATGCTGGTGCGACCAACTGAGAAAGTTGGTAGCACCAGTGCAACCAGTGGAAAAGTTAGTCTGGAGCCCTGCCCATATAGTTTGGTGAAGCGTGTCTGAACAAAAGGCAAAAGAAAGAAAGAAAAAGTTGTGTCGAAAAATATTAAAGTCTGTGTAAATGTTCAAGACATGTTATTTGGTATAGCTAAAAGTAACCCATATAAACATCTTAACGAGTAAATGTGCCATATGTATAGCGCGAGTCGCTTTTAGATGAAAGCTGCAAATGCATAACAAAATGTAAAGGAGAAAAATAAAACACTTGTATTGTCATATCTTAATGTGGTGACAAGTAGCACAATTTTTGTTAAGTTCAAAGAAGAAATATTTAATTGCTTATTGTTCATTTATATTTTTAATTAATTTGTCATTAATCATCCAGGTAACGACACGTCTGGGGTATTTAAACATTTGAACTGGTTCTGTTATTTAAGTTGGGCTATTTCTACTTGTGGACTATATGGAAATGTTTTTGTTTGGTGTATAATAAACTTTTCATTTCTTTTTCAGATTTTATCTGTGTTGTTTCAAATGGAGTCTCTGTGTCAGTGATGGAGGGAGATTCAATCACTCTAAACACTGGGGTTGAAATAAAACAAGAAGATATAAAATGGTATTTTAATGATATTTGCATTGCTCAGAACAGCGGAGATCAGAGTACGAGTAAAATCTGTAGATATGATCAGAATGAAGATGCTGATGGGAGATTCAGAGACAGACTGAAGCTGGATCATCAGACTGGATCTCTGACCATCACAAACACCACAAACACAGACTCTGGAGTTTATCAACAAGAGATCATCAGCAGTAGCAGCAGCATTAAAAAGACCTTCATTGTTACCGTTCATGGTGAGTCGTTATGTTTAAAAGCAAGTTTTGTACATTTAAAAATAGGGTATGCAATTTTTTTACATCAATATTTTTAGTTTTTCTGGTTGAAACTCTCTTCACATCCTGATAGCAATCAATAGAACTGTAGAACTTCTCATTTCAATATATTCATATTTATATATTTATTTAATTTAGCACATTTCAGTTCAGCACTGTTTTACTTGGAGTGTTATGTTTGTTTGTAATACCAGTATCCATTAAAAAAAAATATCGGTTGAATAATCGGTTTACGGCATGTAGCCTACGGTCAAACGTAAATATCGATATAGGTAAAATCCACTAGTTTGTTCACATGTTACATTATGAATCAAGACATACAGGGCGTTCGGAAAATATTCACAGCTCTTCACTTTTTCCACACTCTCAAGCTCCATCGGGTTGGATGGGGAGCGTCGGTGCACAGCCATTTTCAGATCTCTCCGGAGATGCGCAATCAGGATCGTTGTCCTGTTGGAAAAACCTTCGCCCCATTCTGAGGTCCAGAGCGCCCTGTAGCAGGTTTTCATCAAGGATGTGTCTGCGCATTGCTGCATTCATCTTTCCCTTGATCCTGACTAGTCTCCCAGTTCCTGCCGCTGAAAAACATCCCCACAGCATGATGCTGCCACCACCACCATGCTTCACTGTAGGGATAGTATTGGCCAGGTGGTGAGCGGTGCCTGGTTTCCTCCAGACATGACGCTTGCCATTCAGGCCAAAGAGTTCAATCTTTGTTTCATCAGACCAGATCATTTTGTTTCTCATGGTCTGAGAGTCCTTCAGGTGCCTTTTGGCAAACTCCAGGTGGGCTGTCGTGTGCCTTTCACTAAGAAGTGGCCGTCCACCATCTCTCTACCATACAGGCCTGATTGGTGGAGCGCTGCAGAGATGGTTGTTCTTCAGGAAGGTTCTCCTCTCTCCACAGAGAAACGCTGGAGCTCTGTCAAAGTGACCATCAGGTTCTTGGACACCTCCCTGACTAAGGCCCTTCTCCCCCGATCGCTCCGTTTGGCCAGCGGCCAGCTCTAGGAAGAGTCCTGGTAGTTCCAAACTTCTTCCATTTACGGTTGATGGAGGCCACTGTAGTGATGTTACATTTGGCACTGAAGCTTCAAAGCGAACATCGAGTTCGCAGCCAAATTTCTCATGAAGCTCTGTGTCGGAGGGCGTATTGTTTTCAGAGAAACACGTGATTTTATAAATAAGCCTATATCCTATGTTACATGATCATAATTCTGTCAAATTATAAACAGCATAGAAACCATAAAATAATTAGACCACCATTTACTTGCATCAAGCAATAATTAGTATTTTTTTTATAATTAGTATTAATATAATTTTTACATTTTAATTTATTGCCACACTTTAATATGTGCATTATATTATCAGAAAACTGAACATTTAGCATTGTCAGGCTTTATTTGTGCTTAAAAGATAAAACAACGGCGCTGCACACGGCTACTATAAATTTGACCTGCCACAAGATGACGCTGTTTTTGACACTCTTGATGCTTCGAATCTTTTCCTGGAACAATCAGAGGAAAGCCTCAGTGCTTCATTTGCCCATCCCTAGGCCACTGTGCTCATTGGGACCTTCAATGCTGCAGACATTTTTCTTCCCCAGATCTGTGCTGTACAGTCCTGTCTTGGAGGTCTAAGTACAATTCCTTGGACTTCATGGCTTGTGGTTTGTGATCTGACATGCACTGCTAATTGTGGGGCCTTATATAGACAGGTGTGTGCCTTTCCAAATCATGTCCAATCAACTGAACTTACCACAGGTGGACTCCAATCAAGTTGTAGAAACATCTCAAGGATGATCAGTGGAAACAGGATCCACCTGAGCTCAATTTTGAGTGTTATGGCGAAGGCTGTGAATACTATGTACATGTGATTTCTTTTGTTTTTTATTTTTAATACATCTGCAAAGATTTCAAACAAACTTCTTTCATGTTGTCATTATGGGGTATTGTTTGTATAATTTTGAGGAAAATAATGAATTTAATCCATTTTGGAATAAGGCTGTAACATAACAAAATGTGGAAGAAGTGAAGCGCTGTGTACTTCCCAGATGCACTGTATTTCTATACCCACAAACATTAAAAAAAGCACTTTCCTGTTGTATTATTTTGTTTGGCTTATAATGAAGTATTGTTAATTTCTTCTTCAGGTTCATCAGGTGTTGATCCAGACGGTGTGTCAGTGATGGAGGGAGATTCAGTCACTCTAAACACTGGTGTTCAAACAAACCAACAAGACAGAATTAGATGGTATTATAATGACATTCGCATCGCTCAAATCAATAGAGATCAGAGTAAGATCTGTACAGATGTTCAGTGTAATGACGGTAATAAGAGATTCAGAGACAGACTGAAGCTGGATCATCAGACTGGATCTCTGACCATCATGAACATCACTAACACAGATGCTGGAGTTTATCAACTACAGATCAGCAGCGGCAGCAGCGACAGTGAAAAAACCTTCAATGTTATTTTATATGGTGAGTCTTTGTTTAAAAGCAAATCATATACATTTAAATTACATCATCATTGTGTTTAGGGATATTTTTGCTGACATTCAGAGGTGTTGTCCTCTTTACATTTATATTAATTCATATGCAGTTCAGATAATATAGGTTTCTTCAAAAACACATTTATGTTAAAGTGGAGTTTTTAGATTTAAATATAAATTACTATACAGGTTGCAAAGATATCCCATGTAGTATAATAATTTAATTAAAATAGTACTACGTCAGTATTATATAGTTTTATTATTTCTATCTAAATAATAATGTCATCATGATGGCATTTTAATTTGTTATAAAAAGGTACTGCAAGATGAGACACCATCTGTCATGTGTGGACATAATCAGAAGAAATCCCTATTGTAATACAAGCTTCACTGACTTAATCATCATCATCATCATCTTGCTTGTTCGGAATTAGATCTGAAGTAATTAGTACTTGTAGTTTTTTTCATTGCATACTTTTTTAGTCTTAATCTAGTAATTAATTGTAAAGTAATAGTAATTGTACTTTTACTTGAGTTTTTGGTTACCATACCCATCTCTTATGTTTATTAGCACCAAATGTGTATAAATGTTGCTTTTCAGATTGAAAATGTATTATCGCTTTGATATCCACAGTTCTCTCATTTTGTGTCTTTTCCCCCCAAAAAGATCCCCCACTCATCTGTTGGTTTGTGTTTCAGGTGTTTCTGCTGCTGAACGAGATAAAATAAAGAGAAAGTCAGTGAATGAAGGAGAACCTGTTACTTTATACACTGGTGTAATAATAAATCTGAATGATTCAATAGCGTGGTATATTAATGAGATTCTCATCGCTGAAATCTGTGATGAACCCAGAAAAACCTGTACAGATGTTCAGTGTGAAGAGAGATTCAGAGACAGACTGAAGCTGGATCATCAGACTGGATCTCTGACCATCACACACACCAGAAACACACACTCTGGAGAATATAAACTGCAGATCAACAACAGCAGATTCAGCATAATTAGGAGCTTCAGTGTTTCTGTCACTGGTGAGTATCAGTTATCTCTATTAAGGCAGCATCTAGTCAACATATTAATTACTTTATAATTAATGAAAACATGCACTGTAGTGTACTATTTACAAACCGTTTGGTTGTCTATGTTTTAAATCCGAGCAGCTCTCAGCCTCACGTGTCAAAACAAACACTACAAGGCCTCTAGAGGCCGCTCTCGTTCTGTATAATGACAGCGGGTCCTTTTCAGCCGCTCCAGCAATGCTGCCCTACAAAGGCAAAAGACCTTAACTCACCAGAGTGTGAAACTGAGAAAAATGACTTTAAAGTTTTTTTGTTGTCCAGCCAATTGTATGATAGGTAGGACAATGAAAATTTGCCAAGTAGTTGTCATAATGAATATATTTATCTACATTAAAAAATATTTAGCTCAAACTTGACCTTTGACCCCTATTCGGAAGTTACTGTATTCTGCCTTTGCATTATCTGTAAAACAATAATGGGTCATACAAAGGCAAAATACCTTAACTTCTAATTTATTGACCATTTTGCCTTTTATCACTCTATACAAACATTTCTATGATAACAACGATAGCCTTAAAATAACATTTAGTAAGTTCTGTCTAGTAAGGGTTAATATTACATCAATAGTTACAAAATATTACAAAATAAAAAAATTATGAGAAAGACCTTAACTCGCTAGAGTTTGGAACTGAGAAAAATGACTTTAAAGATTTTCAGTTGTCCCTCCAAATTAATTATAGGCAGGACACTGTAAATCTGGCAATTAGATGTTTTAGTAATACAAATTATCTACATAAAAAATCTTGAGCTCAAACTTGACTTTTGACCACTATTTTAAAGTTACTGTACACTCTGCCTTTGCATTGTCAGCGAAAAGTGAGAAGTTATGCCAAGGCAAAAGGCAGTAACTTCCACATTATCAATATTTGGTTGATGATCACCATTAACAAAATCATTATAGTAACACCTGTATAAAATCTAGTGATCATGGCATTTATTTTGTATGATTTACACTTATAGACATCTACTTATTACTACCCTGTGCTTTGGTTGCATTCTGGTGGCATTATTAATACATGAGACATGGCAAAATACCTCCATAGCGGTAAGATCTTCAATTGGTACCGAGTGGCATAAGACTTGATAAACGCGCGTTCAAAATGATCACGATAAAACAGGTCCTCGCGCACATTCGACCTGGGGACTCGCTTATAGTATATTCGTGTTCGAAGGTGTCATGCTCCTCGTACGTTCACGAAAAGTACGAAGTACGAACGCAGTGCTTTCCATCTTGAGACTCGGTGGGGAGCGCGCTCTGGACTACCTAGACGACTAATGCATTTATAGCACAACCTTCTGTGTTCTGCGTCTTTTCAGTAGCGGTGGTTTCAGCTGTCTGCCCTATTATTGTGCAGTGCACTTCGCTCGTCCCGCGGATTTATTCCGGACAGTGTGATTGTAGGTACAACCCGCTTGTAACAGCTTGTCTGATGTTGTATGCACCAACAATTCTTGCTGCATTATGTTGTATGCACCAATATACCGTTGTTGCTTCATTATTATCACTCTGTGATATATTAGTCGCGCGTCGGCTCGACCGTGTTCAGGGCGGAGCTGAAGGCGCCGGCGAAGTTTTGGCACTCTGCCAGCTAGATGCATGATTGTTTCAACCCGATCTGGGTGAGGCGGGGATTTAGTTCTTTGTTGTATTCACCTGCTATGGCGTGTGTAACATTTTTTTCTGTCAACTCTGCATATATCATTCGCGATGGATAGCCTATCGCACGTTTTTCATATGGAGCGGGTTCAGACCATACTAAATGTTCTGACCGCATTTGTGCTGGACAAAGCTCTGAGGACATCAGAAGTTACAGGGACTGATGGCAGCTGTACAAAGTACACAGGCTACATCGTAATTTCAATTTTAATGGAGAGCAAAACAAAGGCAGAACACCGTACAATCTGAAAGGTAGCATATTTGATAGAACGCCAGCACCGTAACTTCATATTGACGCGCGGCTAAACAAAGGCAGAGTGCCGTAACTCAAAATGAGCGTTCCAAAACAAAGCCAAAGAGCGGTAACTGGTGTTACGGTGTTCTGCCTTGGTTTCTCACGGGCTTTTGGAAGTTACTGTTAAGACAACCCATTATTTTCTCGAAAAAACGACGGAATTGACTCAAGATACTTATCCACATGATAAAGGGGGTCTTGAATGTGCCAAAAATATAAAAAACTAATTTTCGACCAAACACGAAGTTACGGTCTTTTGCCTTTGCACGGCAGAATGGATGCAGCCCGGAAAAACTATTGGTATGGAGTGCAGTGGTGGACGAAGTACACATACCATGTACTTGAGTAAAAGTAAAGATACTCAAGGTAAAATATTACTCAAGTAAAAGTAAAAGTGCTGCCTTTAAACATTCACTTGAGTAAAAGTACAAAAGTATTTGCCTTCAAATGTACTTAAGTATCCAAGTACTTTTATTTTTTATGGCTATAATGTCCTATTATAATTTGTCACAAGACTCTTAACTCAGTCTAAGTGAAGACTAATGTCACTCTTGGCACACCAATCAATTAATGAAATGACATTAATTAGTCTGATATATATATATATTTAAATTGAATTAATTTTGTGTGTGTTTAATTTTGGAGGGAAGGGGACTGTTCCCATAAGGTATAAAATATTTACAGTATTTACTGTATATATTTTTCTCCAGCGCCTAAGATCACAATTATTAACATCTTAATGTTATGATACATTCACATAAACCTGCACAACCCCATTAAATATATACACATATACATACACACACACACACACACGCGCGCACACACGCACACGCACACACACACGCACACACACACGCACACACACACACACACACACACACACATTATATATATATTCTATATTCTATGTTATGGGAGCAGCCAATTTCCCTCCAAAATTAAACACAAAAACGTATTAATGCAGTGTTTCTGCTAGGCTACTCCCCAGAGAAAAAAGCTATTATATGCAATTCATTTTAGTGGCAACGTAAGCAATGTACATTTATGCGTTAATACTTACCGATAATTGCTGCAATAATAGCTGCTGCTCTCTGTCCCGCTTAAAATCATTGTCAACGCGATTTGTTTGGAACTATTGAGAGCTACACGAATAACGACCGCGCGGCGGCGAGATCACTGTCACAACCATCTATGTTCGCAACTCTCATATTTAACGGCTCTGGTTCGTGCTTAGTAGATATTGCCAAGGCAAGTTCAAAACAAAGCGCGCGCGCTGTACTGTGATTGGTGGCTCGTTTGGCCAGTTACGTTTTTATCCACTCATAAATAAAAAGGAACGACTGATTTTGAAAATGTAGTAGAGTAAAAAGTAAGATATTTGACTTTGAAATGTAGTGGAGTTAAAGTAAAAGTCTCCCAAAATTTAAATACTTGAGTAAAGTACAGATACGCAAAAAAGCTACTTAAGTACAGTAACGAATTACATTTACTTCGTTACTGTCCACCACTGATTGTCGATAACAAAGTTTTTCACCGATCGGTTATCAGTGCCGATTATTCGGCAAAACGTATCAATCCTTAGACCTCTAAAAGAGACTGTCAATTGCCAAATGCATTATGCATTTTGGATTTTACATTTCTTAAGTCTATTATATAAGAATAAGAACAATGCATAATATCAGTCAGTTTTCCTGTGAACATTGTTTTCTGTTGAGCTCACAGAGCTGATGCTGTTTTAGCTGATGTTGTTATAAAACACCTATTTATCCAATCAACCAGCTATTTATCAAATAAATCAATATCATACTGTGATATAATAATATCTTATCATTATAATAATATCTTATCATTATAATATCTTATCATAATAATAATAATAATAATAATAATAATAATAATAATAATATATATATAATAATACATTATTATATAGATATAATAATACATTATCATACTGTGAAAATGTAATATCGTCTGTGTCTTCAGCTGTTCCAGATGCAGGTTTATCTTCAGCTGCTGTAGGAGGAATATGTGCTGCTGTTATTCTGCTTGTGGCTGCTGCTGCTGCTGTGATTTACTGTCTCCACTGGAAATCTAGGAAAAGGAAAGCAAGGCAAAAAGGCAAGTATTACATACAGCCAGGGCTTGACATGAACTTTTTTGCTCACCAGCCACTGTGGCTAGTGGTTTTCCAAAGTTACTAGCCACTCAGCATTTTCACTGGCCACAATTTGGACACCGATACCATAGGGTAATAACTACCATATAGATATTTTTAATAGCATCTCATAATTTGGCAGCCGGTATATTAGGCTACTGTCACTTTAAGACCTGACGCACGGACCCATTATACTGTTTTATATAGCCAATATACTTTATGTGCACGCACTTTGGGTGTGAGCACAAAATCTGTGGGAATGAGTAAAATTGCTCGTCAGAATTCAAGCCCTGTACCACCAACAATATTCATCCGGAGCAAATTAAACGAGTGAGTAAAGGGTTGGTGTGTCAACTTCACTGTCGGAGAGATTAGAGAGCGAGAACACGCAGCTGGTATCTTTTATATCGAGTTTTAGATATTTCAGTATCAATATGTATCGAAAAATCAATATTACTGCCAACACTAGATTGCACTTAGTTTATTATTATTTCAGATGCCTTTTTAAAAGACTACAATTGAAACATGTATATTATATAAAATTAAACCCGCCAAACTGGCTAGTAGGAGTGACTGTGTTACACGCCAACGCTGAAATCCACCCGCATTTGGCGGGTGTTAATGTCAAGCCCTGCATACAGCTGATTGTACAAAATCATTTTTAAGTAAAGGTTTACATACAGCTGATTGTACAAAAAAATTGAAAGTTGTATTGTAAAGAAGGAATCTTTAAAAAATATGTAAAAGTATGTATTTTTATTCTAATTGACCAACATAAGAGTTTGTTGTTGTTCAAACAGGAAACAGGACACCGCGAGATGATCATGATCAGGTGAGATACTGTCGCCAAAAAACTGAATTTACTACAGATTCAGATCTGGGAGAACTGTTAAGGCCCTAATGACATGATTTTGAAGAAAAGCAGGCCAAAACAAAGTTCATTTTGGGGGTTCAAAGCAGCTCGTCAAAGTAAACTTTCCAGCTTCTCCGTGGCGATTACTTTATATGTACGTAAGTATGGCTCAGCCTTCTTTAAATTGGAAATCTCCTCTTTTATTTCTTCTGTTCGGTCCGTCAAGCTCAGACGTCTGCAAGATACAACATGAACAGAGCTTTAAAATATAATTCTAATCGGAAAAGACACTGATACTGTTTTTCATGTTTCATACTGTAAAGTGTATTGTGGTGTATTGAGGTGTATTGATTTAAAGCAATACATTTGTATAAAGTTCTATATATTGATTTAAAGCAATACATTTGTATAAAGTTCTATATAAACGTGACGTGAGTTTACTGGAGTGCAGATCTGGTGCACACATATCCACATCACTTCTTTCAGATCTTTCTTAACTGCTGTTTTCTCACCGCTGTCGACAGGAACATATTCAAGTGTAACTGTTGTCATTTTTGAGAGGAAACCGTGCAACACATATTTACTTGTGCATCTGAACGTCACTCTCAGCAGTGTGAAAGGCTTTGGGATGTACACTAACAGTATATTGCTAACTCTTAATAACTTTAACTTTTTGCCCCTTAGTGAAGAACGGAAAAGAACCTCTCTGTTTGTCAGGACCTTATGTGGTTTATGTCTGTGTGTGGTTTTTTTTTTTCAGAATTTATCACATAGAAACACCAATAATAACTGACTTGTTTAAGAGAGCACTGATCTTGAGCTGTTTTACTTCAGAATGAAGAACAGGGTCTTTACATTCACAAACATCAAAGAGAAAAATGTGTATGTGAAAAAAAAAACATTTTTGTGTAACTGAATTATCAGTTTTGATAATTTGTTTGAACTTCTGTGAATCTACTTCTTTCTTTCAGGACAATGATGTCAAAGAAGCAGTGCCCCTTAATCAGAGGACTGAGACTCCACAGATGGATGATGATAATGGGACGTCCCATAATGAGACTGAGACTGCACTGATGGATGATGATAATGAGACTGAGATTCCACAGATGAGTTGATAATGAGTTGTCTTCTAGTGAGACTAGTGGGATTTCACAGTAACATTATTTATAATTTTACGCTCATGGAGAAAGTCGTGATACTAAAATATCAGTAGTCGGTACCAATAATGGTGACTTGAAGTTTCAAAGCAAAGTAGTCAAAGCAAAGCAACCCATCACCAACAGAGTGCTTGAGGATTTCCAGTGTGTGACTGGAGGGGTTATTAGAGGCTGCTAAAGGATCCAGACAGAAACAGTGCATGATTATCTCTCTTTCTTGACAGTATTGCTGTTTCTTCAACCATTAGCAGCAGCATTTACACTGTAAGGTCCAATAACACACTGATCTGTTTTGATCAGATTCATAATAATGTCATATTTAGTGTGCTCTTCACCTCACCGATCATATGCAGAAATGAGAATATGTTGGCAACTGTCAGTCAGAAAAAATCAGTTACTCACTTCAATCTGTACTACTGTAGAATGACTGTTAATGTTATATCTTTACAATTGTAGCATTTACATCTTGTCAACACAGAGGAACATACATGATGAAAACACCAGTATGTTGACTTTTGGATGCTGGAGTCTTTACACCGTGACCTTAAGCTGCTTGGTAACCTCTAAACTAGTGTTTTAAAAACATTCACTGTCAAAACTAATGCTACTGTATCAGTTTTGGTTTATTTGTTTGTTGTGTTGTATGTTTGTGGTTTAAAGAAAGGTTAAAGGTTCAAATCCTGCAAGGGTTGATCCATGGAATATAAGCATTGTGTCCTTGATCAAACTCTGAATCTCAGGAACTGATACTGTTAAATCTGCACTGAAAGACACTGGATTGAGGCTGCTACAAAAGAACAAATATGTTTATGAAACTAAATTGGTATACATTTCATAACGGTTACTGGCTGCTATGCAGCATTTTAATGGAATTAACCATCTGAATGGTGTTTTAAGCTCATTTCATAAATGTGTTTTTACTGATAAAATGATATTCATTTTTATAGATTTCTTTTTTTTTTCAAAGAGCTCATTGTAAGTTTGTTTTTAAATTGACCCTAACAGAGACACTGACCCTATTTAAATTATTTATTAGAATGTAAATACACGCATGCTATTTTTCATGTGATGAATGCTATTAAAACGTGTTTGTGAAGTTGATCAGAAGTAACTAAGCTAACAAGGAATCATTTGTAGATCCTGAATTGTGGAAATTTTAGACTTTAGGATTACACTTTCACCTTTAACATTTTAGGTTTTTAACCCAACTAGCTGTTTAACTCAGTCCTTAGCAATAAGAACACACTAATCAACCAATTGTTGATTTTTTTCTTCTAATCAAGCTTTTTATTTTTTGTACTCATATTAGATGGTAAAGGCTGTTACAGAAATGGACACTAGATGGCGCCCTTGTAAAGTATACAGTCTACTCTGAAGAAGATCCAGATGTCAACTCTCATAATGGGTATAGAATAAGTTGACATACTTGCAAAGTTACTTATAGTCATATGCAGTGTTACAGATATTAGAAAGTCAACCTACTCTACGAGAGTTAGTTGGCATGTTGCAAAGTAACAGTAAAATGTCTAAAGTCAACCACTGACATGGTGTAACCAAAAATAAAGTAGACTCAAAATACAAAAGGCTTTAAAAAAGAATGTCAATCATTACTAATTGTTCAGTAGATATGTGTATCGATAGAAGGGTGTCAAACATCTTCTAAATGTTGTCAGATGGGTTTGAGTGCATAAATCCTGCTTTCACATCTATTAAGAGGGTTTAACAGTAAATCCAATCTGTATATGCCTTTTCTACACCTGTCAGCGAGGAGTGGAGGCAGAGGAAAAGTTGTAGACCTCTTGAATTACTGTAAAGAATTATGCACGACGCCACATCATTCACTACTAAGTTCCGTTCTGCTCATATTACTTGACTTCTTGAATGAGTTCAGTTTGCTGAAGAGATTTTTCCAGTCTTTAGCTAGAGGAGACCCGCGTTCACTAACAAGTTTACAACAAAAGCAAAACGTTCTTGCTAATTAAATAAACAAGCCATGGTCTGTCCAGTTTGTCCCACTTAGATAATGCGACTTTAATGAGCCTCTGAAAATATCCTGTGCGTGGTTTGGAAAAATGATGCCTTTGGTTTGATCTGTCCCTCTCTGTACCAAAGTGTCTTTAAGTCCAGGTTTAATTACAGCTGGCCATTTGCTGGAATCATGATATATTCCTTCACCTACTAGTAAAATTACTCCCATACTGTTCCATCTGTCCCACATCAGATAGTTACGGCTAAGCTGTCATTAGCATGGCCGCTAATGCTAATGCCTACACTCTCATCTTGACTTCTGGGATGTAGAATTTTAAAAAGAGCCTCTTTGTTTCTTCTTCTTCTTCTTCTTCTTCTGGGGTTTTATGGCGGTTGGCATCCAAAGTGTTGCATTACCGCCACCTACTGAATTAAATAGTTTTCCCAGTGCAGAATATTTACAGTGACCAGCCTAAAGTTCACTGCCCGTTCTACACTCACCGGCCACTTTATTAGGTACCCCATGCAAGTAACGGGTTGGACCCCCTTTTGCCTTCAGAACTGCCTCAATTCTTCGTGGCATAGATTCAACAAGGTGCTGGAAGCATTCCTCAGGGACTTTGGTCCATATTGACATGATGGCATCACACAGTTGCCGCAGATTTGTCGGCTGCACATCCATGATGCGAATCTCCCGTTCCACCACATCCCAAAGATGCTCTATTGGGTTGAGATCTGGTGACTGTGGAGGCCATTTTAGTACAGTGAACTCATTGTCATGTTCAAGAAACCAATTTGAAATGATTAGAGCTTTGTGACGTGGTGGAAGTAGCCATCAGAGGATGGGTACATGGTGGCCATAAAGGGATGGACATGGTCAGAAACAATGCTCAGGTAGGCCGTGGCATTTAAACGATGCCCAATTGGCACTAAGGGGCCTAAAGTGTGTCAGGAAAACGTCCCCCACACCATTACACCACCACCACCAGCCTGCACAGTGGTAACAAGGCATGATGGTTCCATGTTCTCATTCTGTTTACGCCAAATTCTGACTCTAACATCTGAATGTCTCAACAGAAATCGAGACTCATCAGACCAGGCAACATTTTTCCAGTCTTCAACTGTTCAATTTTGGTGAGCTCTTGCAAATTGTAGCCTCTTTTTCCTATTTGTAGTGGAGATGAGTGGTACCCGGTGGAGTCTTCTGCTGTTGTAGCCCATCCGCCTCAAGGTTGTGCGTGTTGTGGCTTCACAAATGCTTTGCTGCATACCTCGGTTGTAACGAGTGGTTATTTCAGTCACTGTTGCCCTTCTATCAGCTCGAACCAGTCTGGCCATTCTCCTCTGACCTCTGGCATCAACAAGGCATTTCCGCCCACAGAACTGCCGCTCACTGGATGTTTTTTCTTTTTCGGACCATTCTCTGTAAACCCTAGAGATGGTTGTGCGTGAAAATCCCAGTAGATTAGCAGTTTCGGAAATACTCAGACCAGCCCTTCTGGCACCAACAATCATGCCACGTTCAAAGTCACTCAAATCAACTTTCTTCCCCATACTGATGCTCGGTTTGAACTGCAGGAGATTGTCTTGACCATGTCTACATGCCTAAATGCACTGAGTTGCCGCCATGTGATTGGCTGCTTAGAAATTAAGTGTTAACGAGCAGTTGGACAGGTGTACCTAATAAAGTGCCCGGTGAGTGTATATGTCATTCTCAATGGTCTGAGATGGTATAAATTCTTTCCTCAGCGTATTATCTAGTTCTTCTCCTGATATGTCCCCAATGTCCAAGAATCTTCTCGCCGCATCCAACACCATCTTGATCCTCTCTGATTTCCCTTTAATTTCCACAGCACAATTGACCACCATAGCAATAAATCCCAGAAATCGCTTCTTGTCCATTCCAATAACGTTATTCTGATCATCTCCCTTCTTTCCCGGCTCCTGTTCTGTTTGCACTACTACTCGTTCCATTCTCTTAGTAGCGTCTGCATATGTTAGCCCTTCTTCTGCTCTGATTTTACTCACTTTTACCTGTTTGATTTTTTCAGGACATTGCGTTGACCCCGCAGGATGATTTCCCGAACAATGAATGCATTTTACCTGTTCCTCTTCACACTCCCCTCTTTCACAAGTATTTTTCCCACATCTCCCACATCTCCTGACTCCTCTACACACTGCAGCCACATGTCCATACTCCTGACAGCAAAAGCACCTTAACGGAGCTCTTTCATAAGACCTCACCTTGTAGCATATATAGTCTACATATATCCTCTCTGGCAAATCTCCCACAAACGTCAGACAAACAGAAGTACTTTCTTCCCTTTCTCCTTGACGGAATCGTGTCAATCTTCTGGCCTCACAAACTCCTTCAACGGCCCGAAACTCCTCGTCTTCCACTGACAGCGGTACGCCACTTACTACTCCTTTCTTTTTGTATTCTGTCCCGAGTGGGAAACATTTCACAACTCTGTAATCTGTATACTCCTTAATCTTTAGAGCTTGTTCTCTCTGATGCCTTGACACGCAGTCAATAATAACCATCCCACTCCTTGTTATTTTAATGGACCGAACATCTCCGAGTTTCTTTCCAACGAATCTTCCAACCTCGTGCGAATCCTTGAAGATCCCGTCACTTTTTGTTACTGCTATCATTCCTACTTGATATCTCTCAACAGTTCTTCTTGTCTGGCTTTCATCACTTGAAACACTGTTCTTTTTCCTTTTCCTGTTCTCAACTCCTCTTGTATCTTCTTCATTTCCCTCGTTCTCGTCTGACTCCATTTCCAGATCAGCCCTCTATCACAGCACAGGACTCCAAAGTGACCGACGGCGACCGCCGCCATCTTCCTCTTTGTTTCTGCAGTTCTTGGTCTCTTAAAAGTCGTCATCTTTTGCAATCATGTCCGTTAAGTTTTATTCGTTTTGATGACCATTCGTTTCGTAGACTAATTGAAGTTGCTCTAAGCGTATGTTAACACGACAAGGATAACAATATGATTAAAAAGGAGATGTTTTTGAGTTTTGAGTCCTTGTGTTTTCTTCGTACAGACAAAATGATCCCATTCACACAGATCCATGAAAACGGCCTAAAACTCTGTATTCTGCTGTCAGGCCATTAGATGGTGATGAAACACTATAGACTGAACACGTAATATGCATCATGACGTCATTGTCTTCAGAGATTCGCGTTTTTGTTGTTTACACGGAGACCGCTTTCAAAAACGTGCACTTTTTCAAAAAGTTTATTTTTCAGACACCCAAAAACATGTTGTCGTGACTCGTGTAAAAGAACGGCCAAAACGCATAAAACGTTTTTTTTTTGTTAAAAACAGTGTTGTGTAAACAGCCACGAAAACTGAGATGGGGCAGGAGTGGCCCTACTGGGTAGAATGAATGAAAGTAAATTTAGGTACTTTCACACTAGCAGAGTTGACGTCAAGTTTGGTTCATTTAGATGAGATGAACACTGTTTTTCCGAACTTGGCTGCGCACCCGCAAACCGTACCCAAATCAGCATGAGAAAAAGATACAGTTCATGTGAACTCCAGCACTGATATGGACGTGATCTTTCTAAATCGACAGGCAGAGAGAATGCGTCTCATTTCTGCTTGGCTTCAGCGGAAATTAACTCCCACAATCTTTAGACATTTGCAGTACATTCGCGGCAGATAGACGCAATAAGTGCCATATCGACAGTGTGAATTCTCACTCTGAGCTGAACTCATAAGTTGGCAGCCCTGGTATTTATTATAAAATTATGTAAAATGACTGCTAAAATCAATCAGCATTTTACAGTTACTAACCTAAACCATCGTCCCTTTCAATGAAAGGCGGCCATACTTGCAGTGCGGCTAGAGTGGTGGAATGACACATTTTTGTAGGCCAAAATCCAGAAGCGATTTAGCACTTCCGGTTCCATCGTCCAGAAGTTAAGTGTTTTTTGTTTAAATGGCTGTCCGCAATGAAGGCAGGCCGAGAGACGTGGATGCTGCTCTGCAGAGCGCTGTGGTGTGTGTGATAAAGTAGGTCGGAGAGGGGTCTTGGGGTCTATATGTGCATGTGTCTGCTGCCTGGTGTGTGTTATCTGACTGCACGTCGTCAGTTTCCTCTCTGCTCCGAGAGGTTTTTTTCAATGTGTGAGAAAATGGACTTGTGGCGTGAGAAGTCTCAATTGCATGAGTCTCACGCTGACTGCATAAGTGTTGGGGGCTCTGGTGGTGTGAGTGACTGTGCAAATATGAAAAACAAGTAATCAGAGCTATCTTTTTACAGAGAGCCAAAAGCTACAGAAAATATAAGCAAAATGGATAACTGCAATTCACAGAAATAACACATGCCTGAAATCGCCTTGCTAAAATGGCCTAAACTTTTTATTATTGGTTTGGTTGAGGATAATAATTACTAACTCCTTATATTTATGCTTTGGAAGTCTGATTTATCATGGTCATTTAAAAAAAGTGCTAACAATAATATTCTTGGCCATACCTAATTTCTATTAAAAAGCACTTGTTTTGTTTTTATTTTATAAATCTGACACATGAAAAATAACACAGAGGTGACTTAAAACAGCAAATATTATTATTTTAGCAGTTAACAGACATTATCGATCAAATCAGTACCAAAATGGGATGTCCTCATTTAACTAAACACAAATTCACATAATCATGAACACAGTGATACGTTTAAGTGTACTGTAACCTTCCTCACTATAAAGTGGCTGTGTCCGAAAGCTTAAAAATGCTGCCTTTGAAGGATTCATTCCAAGGTCGGAAGGCATCAAGGCACATCCTTCGTTGCCTTTGACGTCCCACAATCCTGTGCTTTCCATTGAGCTAAAAAATAAAGATGGCCCCTCAAAGTTACAGTTGGTGGTCAGTTTGTGTGTAAATGTACACTGTAAAACCCAACAAGTTAAGCTAACTCATTTCATTTGAGGAAACCGATTGCCTCAATTCATTTAAGTTTATAAAAAAAACAATAGTTATGAGTACACTGAACTTATTTTAATCGAGTTCACTAAAACAATAATATTTCTTAAAACACAATTAAACTTTACACTGCAAAATACTGTATATAGCTGAAACTTCACTTTGAGTAAAAACAGTGTATGGTTTTGACCAAACCCTTTCAACTTATGTCATTTCTTGCAAAAAAAAAAAAAGAAAAAAAAGACTATAGTATTAATTAAATATTCGCTTAATTCTCACCAAAGCTCTCTATATTTTGAACCGTTACGTTTTGTTCTCAGAACTCAGTTTTGTTAGGTGCCTTTTTTACACAAACTCTGCCTGCAAAGTCACTGCCTAAGTTTTCAGACGCAGCCAATGATTTATCAGGAAAAAAAATGGGGCTTACCGTTAAAGTTTTTGTTAATGAAAATAAATTTGCATCTGCATTTCAAGCTCATACTGCTTCGTCAACTCAAGCTGCTGCTAAATGTGCATTTCCAAAAAACAAACATATACATGTTAAATGTGCATTTCCAAGAAACATAATTATTATTTTAGGTGCCAAATCAGGTGCTGGTGTCACTGGTCCCAAATATAATTCTGGATTCCTGTTTATATTAACCCTCTGATGGTCTTCAAAAAAAAGTCACACTCGTGGTCTTCGGGGTCTATTGGACCCCAGACAACAACATTTAATTTTGTAACCGAACAATATATATTTTTTTAACAAATATAATTTTACTCTGTTTATTAATGTTTTTACTCAACATTTGTGCAGTTTTTGGAGAATTTGTGATTTTTTTTAAATTTCTATAAATAAATAAATAAATAAATATTTAATTAAATAGGATTTTTACAAAAAAAAACAGCATTCTATGTTAAATAAACTTTACAAAAGACCCAGATTTCTAACTTTCATTCCTGGGGATACCATGTATAATTTTACAAGGTTTAATGTAAGATTTTTGCCCATTTTTTGGAAAATACAGGTTAAAATTTGTAATAAATCACTTTAACCACTAGATGGCTATAGAGCTCCATTATATGCCATTTGCTATTTGAATTACTGAAAGATATAGTTTCTAAAGTTGGATTCAGTTGGATTCATATCTAAATATTATAAAATCACAATTATAACAAAAATAATATAATTTTTGTCAAAATTTAGCATTTTTTGTTCTGAAAAAACACTATGCATGGTAAACCGCATGACTTCTGCAGACAGGGTTGGAGCAGGTTTGGCACTTCACTGTTGTTGTTGTTGTTGTGTGTGTGTGTGTACATTTTATTTTTATTTTTATGTGTACAGTGTCACCAATTTATTTTTGTGGTGGTTCTTCATTTTGTATGATTTTATTTGACAAATTATAAGACTTTTTATAGCCTTACAAATGTATTCCTGTGTGTGTGTGTGTGTGTGTGTTTGTGTGTCTGTGTGCGTGTGTGTGTGTGTGTGTATGTGTGTGTGCGCACATTTTCAATGCGTCTAAGTGTTACCAATTTATTTTTCTGGTGGTTCTGCATTTTAGATTATTTTATTTTACAAATGATAAGAGAACAGTTTTTATAGTCTGTATGTATTCCTGTATAAATGTATTCCTCTTTATGTGTGTGTTTGTGTGTGTGTGTGCGCCTGTGGTGAGCATGATCATTTTGGATTGTGGATGTTTTTTGCATTGTTGGAAGTGTGCCACTTTATTTCTGTCATTTCTGTCTATGTGTTCTACGTTGTTTCTGATTTTGATGATGTTATTTTGTCTATTTTGATTGCGGGGTCCAATAGACCCCGAAGACCACGAGTGTGACTATTTTTGTCACGCCAACATAAAAACAGATATCATTAAAAAAAATTTTTTTTTTGTAGATCTAGAAAGTGTTGAGAGCCGTAGAAAGTTTCAAACCATTTGGACAAAGAGAACATTTTTTTTAATTTGAGCAAAAGTCATTTGGGGTCCAATAGACCCCGAAGACCATCAGAGGGTTAATATAAAAAAAAGCATTTGAGAGATCAAGGATAGTTCTTCTTCTTAAAAAAAAACGTCCTCTTGAGCTAGAAATAAGTACGGAAACTAGCAGAGCTTTTCTGCAGGGTCACAACATGAGTGTATGAGGTCATGAAGATATACACCCTGACCTTTATTATCAATCTTAGAGTTTCACAGATACAGTTTGATTTGAGTGAATCTTTTATCTGTCAGATTCTATATTAAGTACCTTTGTCTAAGCAAACGCCAAATGTTTTCATGTGAGCAGCAATGGAACAATTCAACCGCATTGTGTTCACTCAGACACGCTATTCACACCTCAGAGACACTCATCAAACACAAGCGTCCGGCAGTAGATACGTGCTCATGCACAAGCTCTTCGGCTACACAACCACATTTCTGAACCTATAACGGCAAGATTCACTCCTTTTACAACATTTGCATATGTGCATCTACAAATTGCACATAATAAGATCTACACACTTGGTAAATTTAACATTTAAGAGTTAAACATGAAAATGCTCCAATGCTCCATATGATTTAGATAATTTGTACTACAAGATAAATTCTTCTAGGAGAGTGCATGTCCTACTGCATGTCCGGTTGGATTTTCTGATGAAACATGATGATTCTCACATTCCCAAACTCAACCATCGTCTCAGAGTCTGAGGATGTTGCAGGAGATTCACAGTGAAAGCGATGACACAGCAACTGAAAGATTGATGATCATACGGCAACAGCTCTATACTCCACATGACTCTCCTCTTCAACATTCTGTTAAAAACACACACAAGAGATGATAATAATGAGAAACAAAGAAGTGTGACCCTCTTAGAAAGACCTATCAGACAGATTCCTTGTTGTGAGAATGCATTTTTCTGACTTCATATGAATATACAATGTTTTGAAGTAATGCCAAATTGGACACTAAAACCTGATTTTGCTGTTATCAAGATTTAATCCAGATGTCTGCAAAAAAAAGCTGCAGCCGTTGTGTTATAAAGCAGATTTGACAATCGTCGTATGATGTTAAAAGCACATTTTCTTGTTGACTGTTGTGCCAATCATCAAAAAAAAAAAAAAATGCATTTCCTGAATGCTTCAGTTTCCTGTCAGACAGTTTAACATTGTGAGTTTCTGCTAAAACAAACAAACAAACAAACAAACACTGTTCTCTGCTCAAATCAAAGACAATGTTCAATCCAGGCACACACACAGACCCCTAGTGCCATGTTGGCTTCTGACTAAACAAGTGTCCTTTTTGCACAATTAAAATTGTTATTTAATTGCATTTAAGTTCTAATTCTGCGTGAGCGCACAAGTCTTTTCTGCAATTAGGAAGTCCCACAGTCCTCACAGTCCGCTTAAATTAGTCAAATAGAACTTAATTGTTTAGTGTGGGTGGTGATGGCGCAGTGGATAAGACACATGCCTTTGGTGTGAGAGACCCGGGTTCGAATCCACTGTGAGACACCAATGTGTCCCTGAGCAAGACACTTAACCCCTAGTTGCTCCAGAGGTGTGCGACCTCTGACATATATAGCAATTGTAAGTCGCTTTGGATAAAAGCGTCAGCTAAATGAATAAAATGAATAAAAAAATAAAAAAATGAATAGTATTGGGACGAAATGAACCATTTTTGTTGAAATAACTAACTGGACAGTGGATTTTTTCATAGCACTTCATTATGAGTGTAAATGTTGAAATTAACTGTAATTAAATGTGTCTTATAAAAGTGTCTTTTAGGAAATCAGTTCATTAGTTCATTAGTTTTTAGTGTTTAGTGTGTTACTTTGCTCAGTGAGAATTAACTGGGTTCATTAAAATAATATATTAAATTTATTATAAAAACTGTTAATGTGTTCTCCTGGTGCTGTTGACCTGGCGTTAAAAAATGAATTTATATATATATATATATATATATATATATATATATATATATATATATATATATATAATTTAAATGAAATAAATGTTTTTTAGTTTGATAATTTTTTATGTAATATTTTGTTTTGTTTTTTAGGGGAATTTTAAGGTACTACATTATATTTATGGAATAGTTATGATTATTACATGTTGCACTTTTTTGAGCATACCTGAAAATGAACTTAAACTGTTGTAAATCTTGAATGCTTTAGAGCAGAAACTTGAGTTTGACAGACAATTGCAAAAGTGAAATAAGTAAAAAAAGTGAAAATAAAAAAAAGTTTTAGAAGTTTAAGTTTATTGTTATGAAAAAATAAAGATTTTTTAATTTAATATGAAATATATATATTTTCCAAAACATGTTTTACTGTAAAATTGTGAGAAAATCAATGCCATAAATCTAATCAAGTCGTGTTCCAAATTTGCAGTTGATATCTCAAAAAGAGCTTTCAGTAATAAAATAGTTATTAGAATAGTTAATATAGAAGTTCCCACTTTCCATTTATTTCCAATGCGCTATTTTAGACACAGGAATAGTACAAGTGTGACTATTTTTTTAAGGACCATTTAACATTTTCAAATCATGTCCATTATTTTGTGTGTGTGTGTGTGTGTGTGTGTGTGTGTGTGTGTGTGTGTGTGTGTGTTCACATAGCAAGTGCTAAAATCTTTACCAAGTTTTGTACAATTCTGATGAATAAAAAAAAAAACAAATACATTTTTTTTTTCAGTCAAAAGTGACCAGACAGCACCAGATGATTATGTTCATTGAACAACGTATTTTTTAAATGTATATCATATTCACTGACTGAAAGTAGAAGTCTATAGTGTTTATATTAAGGTTCAGAGGTCCAGAACTCTTTCAGTCTTTCTCATTTGCTTCAAAAAAATAAATTACTTTGGCTTTTTTTTTTTTTTTTTACTACGTTCTTGGGCAAAGCAGATATTTTGTGCATTTCTGGTAGATCAGAAATACAGATAATTAAATGATACAGAGACTCATGACATAATTAAACACACTTACCAATTTTTGTGCGTTTCTTGTGTGGAATGTCGGATGAGCGTAAGTGATCTTTCTGTTAAGAATCTGAACTGTTTCTACAACAACAATAATAGATGCATTAAAACCACAAAACACACTCTTAGCTATATCTGATTCTTTGAAACATTATTAGAGCTGTCAGCTAAAGTAGTTCCAGGCAGGTTTTGACTGCATTACAGTTCCATATCACTTGATCACCAAATATTATTTGTAAAGGTCCTACAAATAATCCTACACACACCACAGCGCTCTGCAGAGCAGCATCCCCGTCTCTCGGCCTGCCTTCATTGCGGACAGCTGTTTACTTTAACAGCCTAACAGCAAAAGAACCAAAACACACCAACACACTGACCAAGCCAATACATATAATAAACAACAGGATAAAAATGTAGAAAATGTGTTTTCCCCCACTAAGTGACCTTTTATGGAAATCTCTCTCTGAAACATACACGCACACAAACTTTCCATGGTTGCCCTGCAATTTACTTTTCGATAATATACTTTTCAACTGAAAACCCTGCATGTCATTTCTCACTAGTAGTAAGTAACACTTGCCTTCTTGATCAGTTGATCTACATTTCTTGCAGATGCAGAAGATCCCAACGACTGCAGCAACAATCATCAGAGATCCAGCAGAGATCAGGACGGGGTAAAATAACGGGAGGCCTTGATCTGTAATGGACAAAATGGAAGTGAATGTGTCTGATCTACAACAGAAGACAGAGATCAGGTCAGTAAACACACACATATATCATCAGTGCTGCTGTACCTGCACATGTGTGGCAGAGTGTGTTGATGTCCAGATGTGTGGTCTGGTTGCTGATGGGATTGTTCAGCACACAGCTGTAGGTGTTTTTATCCTGATATTCCACCTCCAGAGGTAGAGAGAGACTGATGCTGAGATCACACACACTGATGCTGGACAATACACTCATTCCTGCGTACCAGGAGAGAGTCGCATCACACACATTTACCACTGATGAACACACCAATGAACAGTTTGATGATGATGATGATGATGATGATGATGATGAACAGTGTGAAGAGTTACTGATGATGACAGGAACAGGCAGACGAGCTGGAAAACATGACAGAATAAACATAAATAGGGAAAAATCTATGCAACAATCAGTGTGTTGAATGGGTGTTTATATGGTCTGTCATTTCAAACTATAAAATGATCCAGATCAATAAAAATAAACAAATATTTGAAGGACAGGACAAATAATCTCTACTCACCATAGACAGAAACACTGAATGTTTTTGATGATCGTTTCGCTCCAGTTATCTGTAGTTGATAATCTCCAGCATGTTCAGTTGTGGTGTGTGTGATGGTCAGAGATCCAGTTTGATCGTCCAGCTTCAGTCTGTCTCTGAATCTCCCATCAGGACCATCATCATATGTGGAGAAGACTCCAGTCTCTCTGCTGATTTTAGCTATCAGAGACTTTTCAGCTCCATATTTCCACAGTATGTCGTCGTCTTCATGTATTTCAGTAACATAAGTGTTTAGAGTAACAGAATCTCCCTCCATCACTGACACTGAATCACCAAACACACCTGGAGAACATACAGATTTACAGAGATTAATGTTTCTGATGGTTTCTTGAATCCTGAAATCAGCTGTAGTTCTGTAATGTAAATGTGAAAGAACATTCACAACAGCAGCAGAAACACAAAATGAAAGGTGAGATATGTGAACCGTTGATCTAAAATCAGTGTGTAAAGTCACATGTCCATTATTTTTCAAGACCATTTCAGACCTGGAAATTTCAGTGCAAAATCCTGAACAGAGACCTGAATTCAAAGTAAGTATATCTTACAATATTTATACAACAAATTCTGAAAATAGTCTAATAAGCAGCAGATTTATTACTCCAGAAAGAAATTAAACCATGAAAATGTGTTTATAACTTACCAGTCAGACTCCACCAGCTCAAACAGAATAAAACAAACATGTGAAACATTTTCTCCAGTAGTTCAGTGTGTGATGAAACATTCAGTCTATATGTGTGAATCCTCCCACAACACGGTTTGACCCTCCTAGTTTCACAAGTCGTATTTGCACATATGTTATAGTTTACCTGCCCTTATTAAGACTTAACTGTTCTTAATGGGTGAAAATATTCTTTATTTTTATTTTTATTGATTAACATACTTTTTGTAAGATTGTTGCCTGACTTTGTGTATAAACTGCATGTCATGTTAGTGTATTTCTAGTGATTTTAAAATGGTTGATGGTTGTGTGTATTTATTGAGTTCTCAATTTTAGTGAATGGAAAACCCAAAGTAAAAAGTTAAAACCATGTATGGTCTCACATTACTAGTTTTACTGACGTTGATCTTCTGAGTGAAAGTGAAACTGCTGCGGCCGTGTTCTTCAGAGACGTGGTTTGATCTGGTGGGTCTACAAACATCTGTGTGTGGGCATTCAGTGCATGTGTGTATAGTTTGTAGGGCAGGGTCCTTCCTTCCTTGGACCCCCTGTGGTGAATATCAAGTTTTTTTATGTTGTTTCATATATGTCCATGTGGTGTTGGTCATATGCTTTAAGACAAACTATGACCGCATTCATCAGTCAACACCATGCATTGAGGAGTATTTTCTCCTTAAAACTCGTATAATACTGCCAGTTAAACCGTCACAAACATGTAACCGATCCTGTCAAAATGTGGACAGGGCTTTTCCACGGTGATAACAAGATAGCCTTTAAGAACCCTAGTGAAATTTTTTTTTTTATTGTATTTTAAAATATATTCCCTTTTTCAATAGTACATTGCAAATATAACAAAAAAAATTATTATCTTTAAATAAATTAAAAGTATATTAGCATCATGCTTTTGACTATTTTCACAATACAACTTTTAACACACTTAATTAAATAATTGTACTTTAGTATATTTTCTAAACATATATTTTAGAAAAATATACTTAAAGTGAAACTTAACAAAAGCCTAACAACCTCATAAGAGACAATAATCATGTGCCTTGCAGTCTTGAGATGAATATCTTAAGACCTTTTTGGGTTTTTTTTTTTTTTGGTTTGTTTTCTTTAACTTTGCATCAGCCAAGGACAAAGTTGAGCATATATACACCCTTAAAAAAAGACCTTGAAAGATGTCATACAGTATGTTGATGTAAAAGCCATTAAAACGGATCTGGTTAACCCATACCTGTTACTGTCACGGAACACACACAGGAGGCTGAAAATCCAAGTGCAGTAATTTTAATTTAAAGGGCAATCCAAACTCATAGTCATCCAGGCAGGGGTCAGTAATCCAAACAATCCAAACACAAGCACCAAACCAGCAACACGAAAGCAGACCAGGAAGTGGTGTGACATTATACAACGAATCCGTACACATACAAACACAGACAGGGCATATATACACAGATCTAACAAGACTAACAATGAACAGCTGGGAACAATGATGACGGGGAACAGCTGAGTGCAATGAACTGATGAGTGACAGTGACAGACAGAATGCTGGGAAATGAAGTCAATAGTGAAGGACACCGTGATAACGAGGACCTCTAGTGACAAACAAGGGAACACAACCAGACACTGTGACATAACCCCCCCTCTACGGAGCGGCTACCAGACGCTCCAAGACATAGTACAAGATAACACAAAACTTCAGGAGGGAGGTGGAACGGTGGAGGATCAGGGGGAGGGATGGTGGGCCAGGTCCATGAAGGGAAACAGGAACAGGGGGTGAGGGTTTAACCGGGGACCAGGGCGAAACAGAGTCCATCGGGCGACCAGGGCGAAGCAAACAGTCCACCAGATGGCCAGGGCGGTGAAGACCCTTCGGGCGGCCAGGGCGGTGAAGACCCTTCGGGCGGCCAGGGCGGTGAAGACCCTTCGGGCGGCCAGGGCGGTGAAGACCCTTCGGGCGGCCAGGGCGGTGAAGACCCTTCGGGCGGCCAGGGCGGTGAAGACCCTTCGGGCGGCCAGGGCGGTGAAGACCCCTTGGGCGGCGAAGACCCCTCGAGCGGCCAGGGCGGTGAAGACCCCTCGGGCGGCCAGGGCGGTGAAGACCCCTCGGGCGGCCAGGGCGGTGAGGACCCCTCGGGCGGCCAGGGCGGAGACGGCCCATCGGGCGGCCAGGGCGGTGAAGACCCCTCGAGCGGCCAGGGCGGTGGAACAGGAGCAACCACCGGCTCGGGAACTGCAGCAGGCACCGGCTCGGGAACTGCAGCAGGCACCGGCTCGGGAACTGCAGCAGGCACCGGCTCGGGAGCAGCAGCAGGCACCGGCTCGGGAGCAGCAGCAGGCACCGGCTCGGGAGCAGCAGCAGGCACCGGCTCGGGAGCAGCAGCAGGCACCGGCTCGGGAACAGACACTAGAACAAAAACAGTCACAAAGACAGACACAAACACAGACACAAAAACTGGGTCAGGCTCAGGAATAGGCACTGGCTCTGCCTCCGGCTCTGGAACGAGCACCGGCTCCGCCTCCGGCTCCGCCTCCGGCTCAGGAACGGGCACCGGCTCAGGAACGGGCACCGGCTCAGGAACGGGCACCGGCTCAGGAACGGGCACCGGCTCCGTCTCAGGAACGGGCACTGACTGTTCCACTGGCTCAGCCTCCGGCTCGGAAACGGGCACTGGCTCTGCCTCCGGGTCAGAACCCGCAGACACTGGCTCTGCCTCCGGCTCAGGAACAGCAGAGACTGGCATATCCAATATCCGAGCCAGACGCTCCAGGTAGTCCCAGTTCAGGAAGGCAGAGGAAACAGGGACAGTCTCTCGCTGGGCAGACGGGACGGGGACAGTCTCTCGCTGGGCAGACGGGACGTGAACAGTCTCTCGCTGGGCAGACGGGACGGGAACAGTCACTCGCTGGGCAGACGGGACGTGAACAGTCTCTCGCTGGGCAGACGGAACGTGAACAGTCTCTCGCTGGGCAGACGGAACGTGAACAGTCTCTCGCTGGGCAGACGGGACGGGAACAGTCACTCGCTGGGCAGACGGGACGTGAGCAGTCTCTTGCTGGGCAGACGAGATGTGAACAACCTCTGACTGGGCAGACGTGACGTGAACAATTTCTGACTGGGCAGACGGAATGTGAACAGTCTCTGGCTGGGCAGCCGGAAGTCTCCTCCTCCTCCGTCCTTTCTGACGGATGTGTGCCGACTCTGCACTGGACGAAACCATCGACGAAGTCCCAGCGCTCGATGAGACCCGTGGTGAGGCTTCAGCTGTCCTGATCTCCTCGTGCCTTTGTGCACATCTAGAAAAGTATTCTAGTAAAGAGATTCCATTCTCTCTCTCTGCAGGAGAAAGTTCGCTACGTGGAATCCACATAGTGACTGGGGACGAGATCTTACAAAAAATAATAAAAAAATGAAAATTACCGCTGGATTTAAGGGATGACGGATTCGTTCTGTCACGGAACACACACAGGAGGCTAAAAATCCAAGTGCAGTAATTTTAATTTAAAGGGCAATCCAAACTCACAGTCATCCAGGCAGGGGTCAGTAATCCAAACAATCCAAGCACAAGCACCAAACCAGCAACACGAAAGCAGACCAGGAAGTGGTGTGACATTATACAACGAATCCATACACATACAAACACAGACAGGGCATATATACACAGATCTAACAAGACTAACAATGAACAGCTGGGAACAATGATGACGGGGAACAGCTGAGTGCAATGAACTGATGAGTGACAGTGACAGACAGAATGCTGGGAAATGAAGTCAATAGTGAAGGACACCGTGATAACGAGGACCTCTAGTGACAAACAAGGGAACACAACCAGACACTGTGACAGTTACAAATCTGTGAATTTGTCATGATTTTAGAGTTTGTTATCAGAAATAACTGAAGTATCACTAAATTATTTCAGGGTGATATTTCTGTAAATGCAATGCTCTCAATCTTTGACCTTTACTCAACCAATCCTTACTGATATGATCACAATGTCTATCAACAGTAAGAGCTTTTCTATTTCATGTATGAATCAACAGTTTTTTGGCTAACTTGATATTTAGGCCTAGCTCTTGCTGTTACATCATGTAGGCAAAACATTGACACCATTCATTTATAGTATTATTTGTAGGATCATAAATTGATAAACAAAACTGACTCCTTTAAACACACACTTACAATAATATCATGTTTTCATGCAGAACCTGCCTCCACAGCAGATCGAACCATTTTTTTTGTGCAGAAGTCAAAAAAGAGTCATATAGAGTATTTTGCTAAAACTAGAACATTGAAACCTGCTGAAAACAAACATTACATTTTATATCATGCTTGGTTAGTTCCATAGGCAGTCCTAGTATGCTTGCTCACATACTGTATTTGATGTAGGCATGATGATAGAAATATTTAGCCTACATAATATTTTACAAACAGAGCTAAAATACTTTTTTGGTGTTTTTTTGTCGTTGTCTACATTCACCCCACAGACCCAGATTTGAATCAGAATCTGCATTCATTTGTCTGATGGAAAAAAGTGGAGAAAAGCTTATCTTTAATTTTCTCACGGTGGTCTTCTCTCTCTCGTTCAACGATAAAAAACTAATCACTTCATATTCGACAGAAATCCATTTTGTATTGCTGAAAAATGGAAGTAAAATGTGTTTGTGATAAAAACGATGTGGACATAGGCTATATTGTTATGGTTTTAGTTTTAGACTTAGGGGGGGGGGGGGGGGGGTATACAACAATAGCTTATACAACTATGCAAAGCTGTTACAGTAGGCCTACTAAATAAAGACTGCT